TTCCCTATTGCGTTTCCCCGGGTTTACAAAATTTTACTTATCTTCACTAGGTCAGAAATTACACTTAATAGTGGATTCTTGAGTAAATTTTTCTGGATCTGGTGTCTTCCTGAGTCCAACTTGCTCCTGGTCATTTCTCCCCATAATACATGCTTTGAAATCTGTGCTAGAAGTTTTGCATAACTGAAAAATCATGTCAGTCAAAAAAAGCACACCAGGGTAGCTTTAGAAGTTATTTTAGAAAAAGTCTGTGCACAAATAGGACAACAGAGGCACAGCAAAGGTTTGACCGTTAAGGATAAAGCCTGAGCTGTGTTTCTGTTTTGTAGAAATAGATATTCAGCATAAGAGACGTGAATTGGATAATCGCTGGACAGGAGAAGTTGTTTGAAGTTCCAACAAATATATGGAAGGTTGTAACTGGGTCACATGAAGATCTGTCTCATCTGCTATGCTGTAGAGACAGTGTCAACAATACGTGCTTAGAGGAGCTAAGAATGGGGCTGGTGTAGAGAAACTCTTTTGTTTGGCTGTCCACCAAGCTTTAGCAGTCTGTAATTTAGAGGCAATATCCGAACTGTTCTCAGAGCTGACGGCACATCTATTCTGCATGGATTTCTTTAGTTCTTTATGAAAGAACATTTAGGATCCTATCACAACAATGTTCACAGGATGGCAGTTATGTGAGCAGAATTCTTTCTATTCTTTGTTTGAAGTTTACTATCTGAGAATTTCACTTGTTGCCTCCTGTGGGCTTGTAACTTTTGTTACACTAAACTTGAAAATGAAAGTTGAGAAAGTCATTGCCTTCCATTGCAGGTATTGGTAAATTCCACATCAGTGATTCATGATGCATACAGGTTTTTAAAAGGGTATATATTTCTTGTAACTTATTTTTTGTAGGCTCGACACTACATTGCAGAATCTCTTGGAGGAAAATATGCGGAAGGATTTATTCTTGAAATGGAAGCAATGTGAGCAGAAAGTGACTGTCGAACACCTTTGACATGTTTCTTGTCAGTGGGATCTGATCCCACCAAAAACATAGAACGTCTTGCAAAATCAAAGGTATCCTCCTTAACTGAGTTTAATAGAGCTGATAAAGACATTTAGAACTATCCTTTGAACTAGAAATGGAATTTCCACATTTTATAGAAGTTCATATTATGATATATATATTTACACTAGTGTTCTCTGGAGTTAATATTGGACCAGTAGCCAAAATGCATTTGCTAAGGAAATGGAAATGTTATATTCTTGCTTTTTCCAGTTGTTTGATTCCAATGACCCCTCTGTCTTTATACAGCAGACTATGATAATCCATTTATTTGTGAAAGTACTTAGCTATAAGTATATATTTGTAGTTTACACTGTGTCACATTCATTGTAGGAGCTGACAGTAATGATGATTAAAGGAAGAGACAGAAAAAAATCATAAATATGGTAACAAAGGAAATTAATTTGGAGACCCTACCTTTTAATAAGTTTACTTGATGGAGGTGTTAAACATTTCTTATAGCACAGCATCACTTTGAGCCACTCTGTGCATTTTTTTTTAAGGTTCACAAGGTAGACGCAAGTATAATTTTCCCAAAAATAAGTTATTCACAGTACATCTCCATACAGTTTTCTCTTTTTTTGAGAATGCATCTTCATTTTTGGGTGTAAGCTTTTGGTATGCACTAAGTAAGACTTGTCAAAGCGGGGAGCACCCACAAATCTCTTTAGCTTATTAATTAGAAAGTGTAGATGTTCATTCTCTTTGAAAATCAGGACATTTTTATTTTATTTGTCTGACTGTGATAAAGAGGGCTTCAATTTAGGATCTAACTCTCACATGAGTGTTTAAACCTTGGAATCTGAAGTCTGAAGTTTTGTACATGATTCTTGTCCCCAGTGACTTTATAGCCAGATAACCAGCCAGGAAGGAGAAGCATGGCAGTTGGGTGAGAAGGATTTGTAGGTTTATTGGAAGCAATTCATTGGAAGGGCAATTTTATTGCTTTTAACAAAATATTCTTCTGCCTTTTCCTAGGATATGAGATCCATTTTACTTTGTAGAAGATTTGAAATTAACTGCAAGAGTATTTATAGGCTAGAAATGAGCAATTTTATTTTTTTTTTGTCCCTTTTCACGTCCAAGTAAACACATTAGGTGGTTGATTAGATTCCTGTTTTCATGGCTTATGGTATGAATACAAATGGAGTGTCAGCTTTGTGATGATGTTTCCCTTCCCTTCACATATTTAACTCTTCAAAATATGTATCCTGTGAAATGGACTACTAGTTGGGTACTTAACCCTGTCTCCAGTAGGAGTTAGTTTCTGCAATCAATAGAGAGCAGTTCCTTTGAAAGCAATTTGAAGCACACGATCAAAACTTAACTCTGACTTCCATCCAGGAGCTGAGTATTTCTATCACATTGTCCATGTAAGAGGAAAAGGGACTAACCTCTTAATAGTATCACTTAAAATCAGCTAGTCACTTAGAGTTGCTCTTGCAAGGAGTGGAACAAAATGCTCTCCCATTCTGTCAAGTCTTAAGCAGGACCTTAGCCTGCTGGGGGAAGTGCTGGTAGGTAGAAGGTGCTCTGTAATTTTAACTGTTCAGTAAAATCAGGTCAGGGGCTGTTCAAGGCCAAATGACCCAGCACAGCTTGTGTCTGTATGCTTGAGTTTTTTTCTGCTACAAAAGTAGGACAGCCTCATCCACATTGTTCAGGCCTGGATGACTTCCTTCTTTTTTGTTTCACAGTGAGGGAGTCCCAGTAGCAGGAAAACCTAAGATTAACTTCTGTAGCTCTCAGGCAGCTGAAGACAGGCCCAGATAGAGAAGTTTTTATGCAGCTCCTTGCTCACAGCATGAGGGATCTTCAGCTGTAGGTCTTGAATGTGAAACTGTCCACAAAACTAAGCCTTTTCATAGGTTCCCTTGCCCTCAACATGTCTATAGAATAATGTGCTCAACTGGGTTTGATAATTCTGGTTTTGCTAGTAAGAGTCAGGCAGCCAACTTAAGCTGCGGGACTACTTAACAAAAACAAGGGCAGTAAGAACAACTAGCAAGAGGAGATCTGCCTGCACATTACTTACAGGCTTGTATGGTCTTCATCACAACATAGTCAGCTGGTCTTTTTCAGATTCCCTTGTAAGACCTTGTATAATTTTTTTTCCTGAACAATTGTCATTCTTCTTCCATGCCTTCTGGAGGAAACACTCCATAAATTTCTACAGTTCTTGTATTTGCATTTATGAGCTTTGTCTTTTCTGAATCCTGAAAGCTAACATCTAGAAAACTGTGTGGAGCTAGCAGATCACCAAACTAGAATTCTCTGAATCAGTGGCTCCACAGCTGCCAGTTAATGATATAGGATGTGTCACAGTTTGACTCAGGTCTGACAACACTGCTCTCGATCCCCTCCCCCTCCCACCCAGGTAGGGAAGGAGAGAACCCAAACTGACTAAACCTGCTACCAATTCTTGGCATCAAACCTAGGACAAGCTCTCTGGCACATGGTGGCTAGGGCTGTCATTTCCAGGAGCCCAGAGATTTTGACCCTACATTTTTGACCTATTTATATTTTTCATTACCAATGGACATGAAGATGAAGGCGGTACCTCTGTTTCATCAGTTAACCTGCAGGCATTCACTTGTTGCATCATCTGCACTGTTAAGGAGATGTTTGCAACCTGCCAAAGAGTTCATTTCATCAGTTCTGAAGTAAAAAATGATGAACAAAATACTGCAGGAATGAGTTTGCAAGAAACTCCAGATTAAACTACATATGTCGTCAATGCACCTGTACAATCCCAGGGACCCAGAGAGGGATCCTTCCAAAGAGGTCTTATCAGCCTAGCAGAACACACTGTTGCTAGTTACAAGAAATCTTACTGAAGGAAAAAAAAATCAGTAAAGAGAAAAATTGGCTTCATCCTGGCTCAAACCAGGACAGGATGTTTGCTAAGGAATATGAACCAATTTCTCCTGTCCTGCCTTCTTCCTTGAGAATTCTCTGCTGAATGAAATAAATATCTTCAAACTTTAAAAAGACACCAGAATTATTAGCTTTACTCCATGCATTAGTTATTGTGTGTAGCCTTAATATCTGTCCATCTCAAGATGGTCTATATCATAGGAAAAAGAACAGTCAGGCAGCTGTTTCTTTGTGTATGTTCCGCTTTATTTGGGAGAGTGGGGAAAAAGAAGGGAAAATGTTGACATTGTCTTATCCCATTGACTTTGTCAGACCTGCAAAAAAAAAAAGACTGTCTAGTGGATGTAGTTTTCTTTCAGCAGATGAAAGATAGAAGCAACTCGAAGGGTTTTGCTATTTTTTTATTCTAATATCCTCAATCTCCATTGATATTAGTGTTTTTTTCTGTGGCACAATGTCACTACACATGCGCCTGCAGAACAATACATCATGTGTATAATCATTCTAAGGAACTATATATAAGAGAAACTTTTTTTTCTTCCAGAACATTCCCTGTCGTGCCATTTCAATGGGTCAGGGCCAGGAAGTCCATGCGAGGCGCCTGTTAAATCAATGCATGCAAGACGGAGGGTGGCTCCTTCTGCAGAACTGCCACCTTGGCTTGGAGTTCCTTAGTGAATTAATGGACACCATCACAACAACAGAATCTATGACTGAAAGTTTCAGGACCTGGATCACTACAGAGGCTCACCCAGAGTTTCCTATTAGTCTTTTACAGTCCTCTATCAAATTTACTAATGAACCCCCCCCAGGTAGGAAACCGTGGTGGGGTCTTTATGAGTTTAAGGGAAGTTTTTATTCTCTGTTGTTTCATTACCTAAATGCAGTACTGTGTAAGTCTTGCAAGGTGTAAAGCATGACTGTTTTGGGGGAGAAAATTAATATTGTTTATTTTTATAATGGAAATTGATAGTGTTGTTATGTGTAGTATCTGTGGAGAATTCCAGATCAATGGTCCTTTCTTAAGCTTTGTACTCTCCATCACTCTTTTCTTCCTGTCCTGTTGACCCTGCCCAAAGATGCAGAGGGGGACTAGTCCTGTGCTCTACTGGGTAAGGAATAGGAAGAAGGGGGGTGGGGGTTGAAACCCTCCATGCAGGAGGGCTGGAACTAGGTGATCTTTAAGGTCCCTTCCAACCCAAACCATGATATGATTCTGTGATTCTGATCACCCAACCACAACCTCCCAAGCTGCAGTATGTAGATGTGGCTGTTGCTTCTTGTTCCATCATCTGGCACTGCTGGCAGCAGACTGACCCTGGCATCTTTGTAATACTCCTTCAGGTATTTGTGAGCTGCTACGAATCAACCCTTAGCTTCTGTCAAAGGCAAAACAGTTAATAATAGCCCATAGTGGATCTGAATACGGGGCTTTACTTAAAAAACAATGAGATTAGGGCTTTTATGCTACTTGCGTATTTACACACTCTCTCATGCTCCCACCCATCTGGAACAGCAAGACTTTTCTCAGTGATGCCACGTGATAGAAAAAAAAGGTGATTGACACAAATGGGAATCCAAGAAATTCCGCTTCAGCATCAGGAAAAACGTAAACCACTGTGATGGTGGTAAAATTCTGGAACAGCTTGTCCAGTGACTTTGTAGACTCTATCTTCAAAACCCACATGGACAAGGTGCTGAGCAACCAGCTCTAGTTTGCCCTGCTTTGGGAAGGGGTGTTGCACAAGATGGCCTCCAGAGGTCCCTTCCAACCTCAACTATTTGGTATTATTCTGTGTGATATGAAAACATCCAACTTTTCTAGGTAGTCTCTAACCTGTTGCTTGCCTGCTGTTGAATGTCTCTCTCTTACCCAAACTGTACTGCTACCTGGAGATGCCTTTTATATGTTTGTAGAAGCAACTTACTACCCTGCCATATATCTACTCATTATGCATGATGAAGGAAGGTTACTTTGTAGTTTGGACTATGGCAGAAAGAAATCCTGAAGCCTGACACTTATTTTAACTCCCCCATCTCTAACTGTGTAATGCGTTAACTTGCCATTCATTTATATATATGTGTTGTCACTGATTTCAGTTAATGAAGTCAGTAGGAGCTGAGAATTTTTATCCAAGGTCATATTTAATGCCTCAGTTATTTAAAACTCTTATTTCAGGATTCATCTTCCTTTGAACATCAGTAAGATGTCTACAGAATGTCTGAACTTGGAAAAGACATCCTGTTTCAGTGTGTATACTTCACTCTCAAGAGAAGTTAGTCAATCTGTTGTGAAAAATGTCTTACTTTTTCTCTTCTCCTCCCCCCTTTTTAATTCAGTGCTCAGTGTCTTTTTATTGTTCTGTGATCCTTCCTTATAATTCAAATAACATTATATAGCTCCAAGAGGCTATTTTATAAGTCAGGTTATAGCAAATTTACAACTGGCATTTGGTAATAGAAATATGCCTGGTGTAACAGTTTAAGTCAGGATGAAATACAGTTGTAGTTGTCTGATACTGTCCTGCCACATTGGTAGCTCAATATGATAAGGCACTTTTGTTTGTTTACTTTGTCTTGATTTTGGAGCTCTTATGATGCCCTAATAGTATTTTGAAAAGGCATTTGTTTGCATATCATCCTACAGGATCTTTGTGAGGTAGGAAAGAAGTAGAAGGGCTTTTATTATGTCATCAGAAGTATGATGACTCAGACAACCTATTCACTGCACTTGAAATCTGTCTTTTTAGACTTGCATTAAGCTGGTTAGGTGGAAGATACCATAGGAGGGACCTAGTGTCAGTAACTTATGCTCTGTGTTGTCTGCCAAAGACAGACGATGCATCAGAAGCACTGTCTGAAAGCATCTGGGAGTAGTGGGGCTTCTGTGTTCCATGGGAACTGAGATTGCATCAGTGCCATCTGCATAAGGCTGTTCTGAGATATGAAATGTCAATGATAAAACAAACCTCCCCAGGTAGTAGTATTTCCACAATGAATTTAGATTCTTGTCTCATCAGCTCGGTGCCTGTATGCCAGTTTGAGCATCTGCATACAGAATTTTGAGACTGCTATAGGAATGAAATCTAAATAAGGTTGTCTTCTGTAGAACTAAAATCTAATTTTATCTGTAAATACCAAAACACAAACTCTTGGATATTCAGTGCTATACTTCATATGTCTTTTTGATTGCCATATAGTTGCTGAATAGTTATGTTTATATTTCAGTTGTTATATTTAGTTGTTCTAAACATTATTTAGAATATGATAACTTAATTGTAAGTCCTTCCACACTCCTGGACTTGATTTGGTGTGTCATCTATCTGAAACAAAATGTAATCGAAGTTTGCCTGCTATGACCAACTGAACAGATAATTGATCCAAAGAAATTATTTGAAGTTGCAAATATGATATTGTAAATTGGAAAATAAAATTTTACTTAATGAGAGTTGGACCTATGGGTGCCATACATTTTTTTTTCTCATATATTACATATTTATACATATTTTATAGGTGTGAAAGCTGGCTTAAAACAAACATACTCAGCTGTGACTCAGGATCACCTAGAAGTGAGCAACATGCCACAGTGGAAACCATTGCTATATGCTGTAGCATTTCTTCACACAACTGTTCAGGTCTAAAAATATATTTATTTTCTTCTGTCATAAAGCCATGTTTCATTTATTAATCTATCATGTTATTAAATGAAAAACATGTTTAAATGGAAATCCCGTATTGGTAAATTAGTATAAATAAGGTGAAAAGGAGAAAAACACACGTCTGTTACTGCATCTATCTTAGAACTCTGCTCATCTTGATCTTGCACCTTCAACAGGATTGGTATTTCAGAGGGAAAAAAGACAGTCAACCAAGAATCAATTAGGGTACTCTTCTGTTAAAATCTTTGGGCACGACTGTGATCTGTCTTTTAACTAACTGGTGGATTTTTTTGCTAATATTTTAAATCATAACACATTACAAAAATTACCGCTTGAGTTGGAAAACCATAATCTTTAAACTCCACTTTCACAACGAGAAGGGCTAAGGAGGTGAATATAAAACCTTCCTGTACTGAAACCTGTAGGAGGAAATGAGGGTGGAAGATGATTTGGTGTCTTGCCTTTCAGGAGTTCCATTAAAGAACGTGCTTTATGGAGTAACCACAACTTTTCATCATCCTCTTGATAGATTTTGCAGTGTCCTTGGTGTGTATTTGGTGCTGGGTTAATTTAACTCTGTGGCCTCCATGCACTGATACATTGTGGTCCAATGGAAGCCTGTGGTATGTTTGTCTTTAGCCCATCACTTCTTTTGTGGTGGCAATTAAGAATGTTTAAACACCAGATATTGCCCTAACACCTGCATAGTGCCAACTGCATCTGTAAATTATTTCAGTGTGAGGCTGCTTTTGTTGCTTTCATCTGCCCCGTGCAGAGGCATCAGTGGTACAAATATACCATTTGAGGACCACAGACAATGCTTATGGCTCATGAGTTTGGACATCCTTTCCTAAAACAGTAGCTTCACTTTGTGGAATTTGAAACCTATGGTTCTAGACTCACAGATTCACTGCACTTAACAAAGAGGATTTTTTTTTTCTTTGTGAAAATGTTAATATTCCTATTATTTGGTTTGTATCCCTCTACCATTATGATAAATGAAGAGATAATTAGTCAATCACTTGGTCTGGGGTGTGTTAAGATTATTTTTTTTTCCAGTTGGTGAAATACAGCCCTAGCTGGACTACTGCCTTCCTAGCATATTTCACGTGTTCTTCTGCTCTTAACGTTTTATTCACAATTACTATCAGTCAGCTTTTTACCTTTAACTCTCTCTATTTTCCAGGAAAGACGGAAGTTTGGTCCGTTGGGCTGGAATATTCCTTATGAATTTAATCAGGCAGACTTCACAGCCAGCGTGCAATTTGTTCAGAATCACTTGGATGATATGGACGTGAGATGTGGAGTGAACTGGACCTGTGTTCGTTATATGCTGGGAGAAGTACAGTATGGGGGCCGTGTAACTGATGACCTTGACAAAGCACTGCTGAATACGTATGCAAGAGTGTGGTTTGGAGAGCATATGTTCAGTGAAAATTTTTGCTTCTACAAAGGTTATGTTATTCCAAAAGGGAAAACAGTTGAAGATTATCTCCAGTACATAGAGCAATTGCCAGTGATTGATACACCTGAGGTAAAACATCACATGTTTTTGTCAGATAAACAATTTCATCAAGTGTATTTTCCAGAGCCGTGATTGCATATGTCAAGATTAGCAGGTAGATCATTATAGTGTCTAGTGTAGTTCTGCTGACCAGGAAGAGACAGATAAGGCCTTCTTCAAACAGTTGAAAGAGGTCTCATATTGACAGGCCCTGATCCTCATGGAGGACTTTAATTACCCTGATTAGCTGCTGGGAGGGTGATCCAGCAGGGTTCAAGCAATCTAGGAGATGTCTTGAGTGCATTAATGACAACTTGCCGGTACAAGTAACTGAGGAGCCAACAAAGAAGGGTGTTTGGCTGGACCTGATACTTTTGAGAAAGGAAGAACTGGTCAGGGGTGTGAATTCCAGAGGCAGTCTTGACTGCAGTGACCAGTGCTGGACTTCAAGATCCTAGAAGGTAGAGGGAGTAGGGCAAAAAGTAAGACCCTGCTCCTAGATTCAGGAGAGCAGACTTCACCCTCTTCAGAGTCTTCCTGCAGGCTTGAAAGAATCCCATGGGATATGGCCGTGGAGAGATGAGGGGCCCAGGAGAACTGGCTGATGTAATTTTCAAGCCATTTCCAATTACTTTTAAATGGTCGTGGTGATTGAAAGAGGTTCCTGGAGAATGGAAGACAGCAAATATCACTCCAGTCTTTGAAACAAGAAGAAGAAAGGTCTGGGGAACTAGAAGCTAGTCAGCCTCGCCTCAGTCCCTGGGAAAGTGCCACAGAAAATCCTCCTTTAAAGCATTTTCAAACCAGTGTTTTATGGCAGAGGTCAATACTGAGGCCAATGCTGTTTAACATCTTTGTTAATGAGCTGGATGACGGGGCAGAGTGCACCTTCAACACATTCACAGGAGATACAAAACTAGGACTGGCTGATAGACCAGATGGTTGTGCTGCTATCCAGAGAGAACCCGACAGGCTGGAGAACTGGGCAGAAGGGAGTCTTGTTAAGCTTAATGAGAAGAAATGCAAATTCCTGCATTGGTTTTCCTATCGGAGAACTAGCTGACCATGAACCAGCAACGTACCCTCATGGCAAAGAGCACAACAATTTCCTAGGCTCCATTGGGAAGAGGGAGATGATCCAGCAGGTTGAGGGAGCTGAGCATTCCTCTCTGCTGAGCATGGGTGAGAGGGTGAAAAGATTCCAAGGTTATAAAATAAACTTGAAAAGTTTTTAATCTCTGAAGGTACTGAAAGCAGAATGCAAGGGTGTTTGTGCTGGCAGTGACGCACCTTTTCCAAGTGAGGGTAAATGCAGCCATGATAATGCACCACTGGGATCCATCTGTGCCCAGCTCATCAAGCAGTTCCTAACAGTGTATGAACCTTGACTCCATCAGATTTTAGGTGCTGCTTTCATAGATCTGCTTTATAAGCCCTTGGGAACCTAACTCACAATGATGCAATGTGTTTTTAGAAGTACTTTGATGGTTTGATCGAGGGGAATTTTACCTTTGACTTTTATGTAAATAGAATCAATCCCAGGAATGCAAACATCTTTTTATTCTTCACATTTTCACAGGTTAGGAAGAAAACTTCTACTTCTGTTATTTCAAAATCTGTAAAGTTTGCTCATGGAAACCTTTAACCTTTTAATCTCTCAATCTTCTTCGTTCCACAAAGGATATTGTGCTAGTCAAAACTGTGTATCTTTGTTTCCTCCCTTTTCCATTTTTGGTTAAAAAAGAAAGACTGAATAAGTCTGATTGCTATATCCTCACTCTTTTGATGAAATTTCAGCCTCTGATCAGAATAAACACTGACTTCTGAAGAGGGCTATTGAACTCAGCAATCCCTTTGAAAGTGACTTTGATTTCAGAGGGGTGTAGAGCTTTAGCAATTGGTTTTGAGGCTTTATCAGACTAAAAAGAAAGAACCCTGAATGACAGAATACAACATCCTACTTTTATACGAAATTCCCAGAGATTTTGGATCAAAAAGAATGAGAGATTGGGCTCCCTGATTAATATACAGGACATCCAGGACATGAAGCCACCCACTGCATAACCACTACTCTGGTTTCTTTGTTCTAATTCCTTCATGCATCACTTGCATAAAAACATAGGACCAGAGTTGTCTCCTATGTAACATCCCTGTCTATGGCAATATTACACCAATTTAGAAGTTGGACTAGCACTACAATTTACATTCACAATAGCAGGTACTTTTCATGTTTCTAACTTGAGCTGTAGCATTGCCACAAACAAATACATTGTTAAACAAACAAACAAACAAACCCTTATTATGCAAGACCAAAAGCAGAAAAGAACATATCTCCAAATGTGTCTATAATTCCATATAGAATATGAATGTCATGAAGTGCATAGATATTTTCACTTTTTACAGCTATAAATATTCAGGCTGAGTAAACCACTATGTGTAAAACATGTTAAATCCTACTTGGAACTTAATTCCTTGCTAGTTGTAGTCACACCTTCTCTCACACAAAGTGTTAGGTCTGAACTGTGTTCTTTGTGCTGTTTTAAGGATTAGATCCACAACTGGTATAAATCAGTACAGCTTTACTGGCTTTGACAGAGATGCACCCATTTGCTTTGCTTGTCTCTGAGTTTCTAGATTTGCAAGCATAACAGTATTAAATATGCCCCTTTTATTCTGTCCTCAGAGGATGTAAATATCAGTTACTAGAAGTTTCCTCTTGTAATATACCAATTGTACTGTAAAATATGAAAACATAAAAAATGAGGAACAGAAGATTGCTTGGCTTTGCTGCTCAGTTGGAGAGCAAGTCTTCCTCACTGTTGGTTCAGTGGTTCAAAGCTTGTAAGAGATAGTTAATAGCTATAATTAAATGAGGGCTTGTGAAATAAATCACAGTACAATTCCTCCTGGAGAAGAGTTGCAATTGTCAACCTGACAATTATAGACTTACTGATATTTCAGTGGAAATTTCTGAGAAAGCTATTATAATTCAGACAAAGGGCAGATTAGCAGTCATTTTTTGCTAGCAGTATCTTAAATAAAATAATTCCATTTCAGAAGAAGGGCTAGTAAGGAGTGGGAGACTTAAACCAAAAATAGCTGAACCATAAAATATCCTAAATATATCACCAGTCATAAAATCTTTAGGTACCTTAAATATGGGCAGTGTTTTATGCACTGTGCTGCATGCCTTACAAACCTGAGACTGAGTGAAATAAAATATGTTAGAAATGTTAACTGGTCTGATGATTAGACGCATCTACTTGAGCTGGTACCACAGCAATAGGTCTGTAGAGACAAAAAGCTAGTGGTGAGGGGTCTGTGTCCACATATGACACGTTTCCAACAAGCTCTAGTCTGAACCAGTGGAAAGGAATCGATTTGTACTCCCTGACAGCACTTCACAGGCATCCAGGACAACTCTCCACTGCCAACTCTCTGTGGGACATCTCTGCCCTGGGACATCTCTGCACTGGAACATCTCTATGCCGGGACAACTCTCAGTAGATTGGCAGATTACACAGGGCTGTGCTGTTGTCCCAGTGTAGAGATGTCCCAGCAGAGAGATGTCCCAGCAGAGAGATGTTCTGGTGGAGGGTTGGCAGGGGAGAGTTGTCCCTTCCTGCTTCATAGGATGATCCAGAGTGAGCTCTGTGAGCATAATACAATCAGTTAAAAACCCTCTACTCATATGAATTAAATATGCAGCCTCTATTAATGTAATCTGGGTTTAGTCCTTAGCCCGTTAACTGAGTTCCACTGATCTATTAATATCTATTGTTTTATAGATCTGAGGATTTTCTTCCATGTTTACCCATTTTCATGCTTTCTTTCATTAATATAATTTTAGAAGGAAAAATATATATATTATTTTTTTTTTCCTATTTTTTCTCCTCTTTTACTTTAAGGTATTTGGACTTCACCCTAACGCAGATATAACTTACCAGACTAACTTGGCTAATGAGACATTAAGTACAATAGAGAGCATCCAGCCCAAAGACAGCAGCACTGGAGGAGGGGAAACCTGAGAAGCAGTGGTGCAGCGTCTTGCTGATGAGATGCTGGAGAAGTTACCTCCAGATTATAACCCTCATGAGGTATATGCTGCTTTATAGATACAATTTTATTTTTTTTTAATGTATGTATTTGTATGTTTTCTGAGTTTTATTGTGCTTCTTAAATATAACTAACGTGTTTTTGAAAGCTCTTAAAATTATACATAGTTTGTAAATCCGGTTTGGTTTATTATCCAGAATATTCCTACATTGGAAAACCTGTATTTCAAGTCCACCAATTAGTGGATGAGGAAAAGGCTGTACATAATGTCTACCTAGACTTTAGTAAATAATTTCATACATTTTCCCACAGAATTCTCTTGAAGGAACTCGCTGCTCAGGGCTTGGAAGGGTGGGTGCTTCAGTGGGTAAAAACTGGCTAGATAGCTGGGCCCAAAGTGTTGTGGTGAATGGAGTTAAATCCAACTGGCAGCCAGTTGCAAGTGGTGTTTCCCAGGGCTCAATGTCAGCGCCAGTTCTGTTTAATATCTTTATCAGTGATCTGGATGAGGGGCTCGATTTCACCCTCACTAAGTTTGCAGATGACTCAAAGTTGGGAGGGAGTGTTGATCTGCCTGAGGGTAGAAAGGCTCTACAGAGGGACCTGGACAGGCTGAATCACTGGGCTGAGGTCAACTGTATGAACCTCAACAAGGCCAAGTGCTGGGTCCTGCACTTGAGTCACAGCAACCCCATGCACTGCTACAGGCTTGGGGAAGAGTGGCTGAAAAGCTGCCCAGAGGAATAGGATCTGGAGCTGCTGGTTAACAGCTGGCTGAACATGAGCCAGCAGTGTGTCCACGTGGCCAAGAAGGCCAACAGCATCCCGGCTTGTATCAGGAATAGTGTGGCCAGCGGCAGTAGGGAAGTGATTGTGTCCCTGTACTCAGCACTGGTGAGGTTGCACCTCTAATCTTTTGTTCAGTTTTGGGCCCATTACTACCAGGAGGATGTTGAGGTGCTGGAGCAAGTCCAGACAAGGGTAACAAAGCTGGTGATGGGTCTAGAGCACAACTCTTACGAGAATCATCTGAGACAACTGGGGTTGTTTAGCTGGAAGAAAAGGAGGCTGAAGGGGAGACCTTATTGCTCTCTACAAGTACCTGAAAGGAGGTTGCAGTGAAGTGGGTGAAATAGCCTCAAGTTGCACTACAAGAGGTTTAGATTCGATACTAGGAAAAATGTCTTCATCAAAGGGTTGCCAGGCACTGGAACAGGTTGCCCAGGGAAGTGGTGGAGTCACTAACCCTGGAGATATTTTTAAAAAGTGTAGGTGTGGCACTTAGTGACATGGCTCAGTGGTAAACTTGTCAGTGCTAGGTTAACAGTTCAGCTTAATGGTCTTTAAGGTCTTTTTCCACCAAAAACGATTCTATGATTCTATAAATGCCATAGTCCACTTAATTAGTCACCTTAACTCAGAATTAAAAGCTTCAGAAAGTTCTTTCCCTCCTTAGTAGCTTAGAGAAGGATGTGGTGTCTCATTCTGAAGGATCAGTGATCTTATAGTGGTTACAGCTTTCAATTTGTCTACTCTTTAAATGATACTGCCATTATGAATAATGCAATGAAGAAGAGGAGACCGAGGGGAGAGCTCATCAATGCTTATAAGAATCTAAAGGGCAGGTGTCAGGATGATGGAACCAGACTTTTATCAGTGGCGTCATGTGACGGAACAAGGGCCAATGATCACAAACTGGAACATAAGAGGTTCAACCTAAACATAAGGAAGATGTTCTTTCCTGTGAGGGTAACAGAGCACTGGAACAGGTTGCCCAGAGAGGCTGTAGAGTCTCCACCTCTGGAAATACTCAAAACCCATCTGGATGTGTTCCTGTGTGATCTAGTCTAGATGATCCTCCTCTAGAAGTAGGGTTGGACTAGATGATGTTCACAGGTCCCTTCCACCCCCTGCCATTCTATGATTCTGTGATTTTATCACCGAGCTTTTTATGCCCCATCATCCAGTAGTATGACAAGCTATTATCTTTTCTTATGACCTGACAATCAAACATGCAAGGTTTTAATTTTCTTATAAGTAGTCATCTTAGTAATGTGCTCACAATTAGATAATTCTTTGCTTCTGTACCACTTCTCTGACATTTTCTTTAAGCTTCAAGGAAACCACTTTTGCTTCAGCTTGCTTGGCAGCTGTTCTTATGTGATTCAAGTAAGGAAAGGAAGAGGCAACAGAATTTAGCAGAAGATACAATATAGTAAGCAAATGAAATTATGCCTGCAAATATAAGGAGTGAAATGGATTATGTAATTACTTCCCATGATGTCTGAAAAAAGGGAATGATTTCTGTTGTGTGTCAATTTAAGTCAACATTATTACCTATATTCAGGACTTTAGTACCTAATAGATCAGTTTAACAATCCTGAAACAAATGAAACTGATATACTGAATTGTAAGAGACTGAGGGAATGTATCAAAAAGAATTCCTATGCATGCCTCATTGGATGAGAGGAGTAAAAATAAAAATATTCATTAGTCCAAGCAGTGCAGCTTGGATTCACTTTTGTAAGAATTCAGAGCTCTGGATTGTACTGCTTTTTGATACTTGGTGAATCCAGAAGAAATTCAGGCTGTTGCACAGAACTCTAAATTTCTCAATTATTAGCCTTTGACAATGACTTCAGAACTGACAACTTTCAAAACAGGGCAACCATTTTACCCCATGATATGTTCTTGTTCTTTCACTATTGTGTTCTTGTAACACTTCCTCTCACCAGCCAAATACCTGATTCAATCTCCACTCAAAAGACTATAAACAAAGCAAGTCACCTTTGCATGCTTTATCAGACTGCTGTTTGACACAGGTGATAGAAAAGTAAAGCAAACCTTTCTTGTGACCTAAAACTGTCTTCATTTTTCTCACTCTAAAGGCAGAGGCAGAGTTCTGCTTTCATGACCTCTTTTGCTTCTGGGTCCTGCCTTGCACATAACAGGGAGGTTAGTGGTAAAATGATTAGGTCCAGCCAGTCCATGTGAGTGAAGATAGATGCAAGAATAAATGTCAGCCTGTCATACACAGAAGTTTATAATGGAAATTATCTCTGCAGCTGGAAAAGCAGCTTGCTAGGGAATAGACATGGAGACATGCCAAAGATACTGCACTTTATTGGAGGTTGGCTTTTCACCCAAGTAGCAGTGTGGGTTTTTTTCCTTAAATATTTTTTGTAGTATTGATTTTGCCTTATCCTCCTCTCAGGCTATGCCTACATTAGCAAGTACTGCATGGGAATAGGAGTTCATCAGAGGAGTTCATCAGGTCTGCATTAGATGTTTTATAGGGGAATAACTCTAGTCTGGGCCTGTAGGCTGAAGGTCTGTTAGTAGTTGAAGTATATCAGACTCATTGAATCGTACCTTTTGGGTTAGTTCAATGTGAAGTTAAGCCAGTTTGTGTGCCTAGAGTCTAGTTTTCATTGCAGGCTTTTTTTCTGGGAAGGAAAAAAAAATGCAGGGTCTGAGCTGAAACGCTAATGTGGAAACTTTTGTTAGGTGTCTTTGTGTTACTTACCAACCCTATCAGATATGGTGGTCACACAGCTCTAGAGCTTCACTTGTTTTCTACATATTTCACCGTCTGCTTCCTTATATACAACAGGGAAGTGGTCCTTGGCACAATTTGAAAATACCTTAGGCTAGGACACACCTTGAGCTCGTCTTTCTTATTCAGGCCTCTTATTTAAACCTCTCAAGGAATGATGGACTTCCCATTTCTGCTGGCAAAGAGTACAGCAAGTAATCAAGTCTCATTGAAAATAATAGCATTTACTTTAAGTGATAAGCATTTACTCCTACAGTAACTGGATCACAAATTATTAAATGGCATGAGTTTGGCAACTGCTTTTCTGATGAGTATCCCATAAAGTATGTGGTGACAAAGGAGTTGGTGGCTTGAGAACAGCTAAAAAATGTACATAGAGGAATCTGACGCAGTAGAGATATGCATTACAACATCATGTAGACAAAGCTGTTAAGATTATGATTTTAGTTGCTCCTTTCTTAAATCATCTTATTTTATGTTAGATGACAGCTGTTTGCATAATGAAAAGGAGATGTAAGTGGGCTTTATGGTATTACTATTTTAATCTCAGGAAGGCTGTTTTGGTTAGTGCGTTTGTCTTGTAAGTATTTTTTTCTGTCAGTTGGTATTCATCTCTTTATGTCATAATAAATAAAGCACTGGAAGTAAGTAATCTGATTGCTTGATAAGAATTCTAATACAAAAACAGTCAATCATACCTTAAAACTAATCTTAACAGTAAGATCTCCAAGAAAGGCACTATGTTACACTGGTATATCTCACTGCAGATTGAGATTGATTTGTATAAAATATGGTAAGAAGTATGTAATTTACTTCAGTTGTCATATCTGGTTATTCTTGGTGCTCCAGGCTGAGTGCTGTGAACATGTGTAGGATGGATTAACAAATTTCTGCATTGTTGTTTCACTCCAGTCTTGAAAACATTACAGGTATTTTTGTAGGCACATGAAAACAAATGAAAAGACTGTTGAAATACTAGTTAAACACTAGCTAAACAATTTGTGTGGTTATTAGTACAGTAATCTTTTAGAATATTCATTTCGTCTTCTCTTTGTAGATTCATAAATGTCAATGTCCTGGTTTGAGCCAGGATGAAGCCAGTTTTCTTTTTACTGATTTTATATTTTTTTTTCTTCAGTGAACTCTCTTTTAAGCAGCACACTTGCTGAAGTTAGCAGCAAGTTTTCCAGCCAGTGGGTAGACTGATAATGCCAGAATATTTTTAATTACTGCTGAGAGACCAAGGACACTTTGCTCTGCTTGTTGAATCTGTTGCTTTGGATATTAAAGGAGCAGAAGGCTTACGTCTACAACCCTTCCATGTGGAGGCGTAGACTAGACAGATGGCAGAACTGGCCAACCAAATTACTCCATCCATATACATATGTCACACTCAGTATAAATTCAGGAATCACGGAAGTCAAACCCCTTCTTTCTTCTCTTATGTCTGGAGTTGTCAGTGTCTGGGTGACATGGCCTTAAGTAACACAGAAAACTAATTCGATTTTGAGAAGTTTCCCTGTTGAATATGACTAAAACCATTATCCTTAAGAATCAAGAGGGCCAAAAGCTTCTATGTACAAAATGAGGAACATAAGCACGTAGCAGAATTCTATGGCATCTGTATTATTCTTGGCAATTTTGCTTCTCCAGTAGTGCATCCATGAGCACCTTGTCTTATGAGTGAGTCGTGCTATTGGAAGTAGCAGCTTCTATATATCATTGTGCTTGTTAAGTCAAACTCCATTTGAAGCATCATTTCAATTCAATAGGGCAAGGAGAGGTGAGAAAGTTTACCTGGCATAATTTAGAAATACAAAGAAGTTGCCATCAAACATGCTTTCGTATAGCATGTAGTGTGTTTCTTTTTAAGATCTAAGGCACTGCAGCCTATCAAGGACAGCAGGAACTGCTGTGTCCCTTCAAAAAGAAGGAACTTTCCCTCCTTAAAATAATGGAGGAGCTCCTTTTGGTAAGCTAAGAGTCACAGTGTAATAAATCTTACAGATGGCACAAGGCTTGAATGTCCATCTGTGACATAAAAATATTTTTCTCAGGAGTTATACAATACAATTGAAAAAACATCCATTTGCTTTCCAAAAGTTATTGCACGGGAAACAGGAGGTTAGATCTAATCATCATTGCACTATTCTTGTTTAGGTGAAAGCCCAACTTCAAAAGGTGGGAGCTGCTCAACCCACAAATATATTTCTCTGTCAGGAAATTGACCGCATGCAACAGGTTCTGTCGAGGGTTCGAACCACCCTGACTCATCTCAAACTGGCTATTGACGGTAAGTTACAGTATTAAAAATCATACTAATTAAAATGCAGTATTTTTTACTAATGGTTGCATGTACTGTATAACTATATAACTATTTCCCCACCTTTCCTTCATTTTTACTTCTTTGTCTTTTGTTTTTTCTTCCCCAGTTTTCCTCTTTTTCCCTCTATCATATGTCCAATAATTCTAGCCCTTAAAACCTCCTCACTGCATCTCTAAGGACACTCCACCTTAATTTATTCTGTATGCATGTGCTCCAGCACTGTAGTCCATGTCCCACAGCACTCCTACACTTCTGTGATTCTCTCTAGGATCTCTACAGAGCTCAGAGGAGCTGAATTGCATTATTAGGTCCACAGGTCGTGTGCCAGAGTAATTTGTGGAATTAAGCTGAGGCATAATGATGTAGAACAAGGTATGAGTGTTTCTGCAAAGTAATTGAGAGACCAGGCACTCAGGAGGCCGGGTGGTAAAGACTAATTTAAGGTGAGATTTGCAGTGTTCGTAAAACTGGTTATACCAGATAGGATGTCTCTAAATGGAAGCTGAAGTGAGTGGGAGTGCCAGTCAAAACAGAGTGATAGGGTTCCTCTTTTAGCTATCACAGGAGGTAGGCAACAGCACTTTGTATCTCTCAGAGACAGGAGCATTTGGCTGAAAGTGAGCAATGGTGAATGTCGTTAAAATAAATCAAGAGTACCAGCAACTAGAAGCTGATGGAAAATTTCATCCGAAAAGGAGTGAGGAAAAAAAAGTATGAGGATGTTACCATCTGCTTTTTGCTTTCACTTCCCACTTTGCTCCTCTGCAAGAGTGGAAATATCCAGGAAGGAAAGTATACTGTTGCTCAGCCAAGGCTCTTGAATTAACAGTAAATTAAAATTAAGCAGAAGCAGTTCCGTTCCATTGGTTAAGATCTCGCTCAAGTCTGCTGTACTCCAGCAGAGAGGCAGAAAACATCTGAGATGGCAAACTGTTCCCACATGCAGAAGGTAACCGTGCTTCAGAGCTAGTCCCTTCTCACGTAGGTGATGGCAGTACTGTGATCTGTTTTACTGGTGTTTTCCAGTTTTTTGACACCAAGTCTTACATGAAAGGAGATATTGATTGATTGATTTGATTTGATTTTGATTTTATTATGTAAGAGTAAAAAGGGACTTTTTTTTTTCCCTATAATTTGTATGATACACTGAGGCAACAAGGTGTGCTTCAGGAACATCATGTCTATAGTCTGAATCTAGGAAAGATGTTAATAAATTTGCCCAAGGCTAATTAGCTTCTATATCCTGTAATAATCAATGCAAGATCAAACTGGAAGAAACAACCATCCTCTGTTTCAATACTGAGCTGAAAGTTACCGTTCATATGTGCGTAGACTCCCTTTTCAAGTAAATTAAAATAATGCCTTTCATCCAATAAAGTATTAATCTTTCCTTGATTGTGACAGATATATATAGTCTCAAAATGTACAATATTCTGCAGAGGGGTGGATCAGTAACATAATTTATTTGCACTTAGTATTCAGTTCCACAGTGGGCACAGTCCTCTACCAGGTGTTTAATCAAGTTAATGCTGTAACTTTTGTGCAATCCTCTAAAACATTATAATTTTCTTAGGGACAGGCAAGTTAAATATAGTGAAAAATTGCTCTGAAAACAAAATTGGATGCATAGCTAACAATGATGATTAATGGCTTCTGGTAAATTCATGATACATCAAGTATATATGGTAGACCATTAATTAGGGAAAAGAAAGGACATTTAGGCACTCTCTACTGCCTTAGCGAAGGGAAACCCCCAAACTCATACTAGATTCTTCCCAGCAGGTAGTCAACTGCAGTCACAGATCATCTGAGGTGCTCCTTTTTCTTTACAATGAGGTAAACTGAGCTGTCTGCTCAAACAGGTGATGTGAATTTTGGTATCTTCCCTGGTCATTCATCTGACTCTGGCCTCATAAACTTGTTAAAGCCTGAGCACCTGCTTATAGCAGATCTAAGTTTTCAAATTTTGTGAGTAAGATTATAAAGCATCTTCATGTTGTGTCATGTAGCGTTGTGAAAGAAGGTCTGAATATGGACAGTGGAACTGAGTGCACCCTCAGCAACTTTGCTGACAACACCAAGCTGTGTGGTGTGGTAAACATGCTGGAGGGAAGGGATGCCATCCAGAGGGACCTGGACAGGCTGGAGAGGTGGGCCCATTCCAACCTCCTGAAGTTCAACAAGGCCAAGTGCAGGGTCCTGCACATGGGTTGGGCAATCCCAAGCACAAATACAGGTTGGGTGAAGAATGGATTGAGAGCAGCCTTGAGGAGAAGGACCTGCAGGTGTTGGTAGATGAAAAGCTCGACATGAGCCAGTAGTGTGCACTTGCAGCCCAGGAAGCCAACCGTGTCCTGGGGTGCAGCAAAGTAATTGTGGCCAGCAGGTCAAGGGAGGTGATTCTGCCCCTCTACTCTGCCCTTGTGAGACCCCACCTGGAGTACTGTGTCCAATTCTGGAGTGTCAAACACAGGAAGGTCATAGAGCTGTTGAAGCAAGTCCAGAGAAGGGCCACAAGGATGATCAGAGGGCTGGAGCACCTCTCCTATGAAGACAGGCTGAGAGAGTTGGGCTGTTCAGCCTGGAGAAGAGGAGGCTCCGGAGAGGCATTATAGCAGCCTTCCAGTGCCTGAAGGGGCTCCAGGAAAGGGGAGAGACTTTTCACCAGAGAGGGTAGTGATAGGACAAGGTGCCCATCATGAGATTTTAAACTGGAAGAGGTTAAGAGTTAAGTTAGGAATTAGGAAGGAATTATTTTCTGTGACGGTTGTGAGACACTGGAACAGGCTGCCCAGGGAGGTTGTGGATGCCCCCTCCCTGGAAATTCAAGGGCAGGTTGGATGGGGCTGGGATCAGGGAGAAACCTGGTCTAGTGGAAGGTGCCCCTGCAGGGGGGTTGAAACTAGTTGATCTTAAAGGTTGCTTCCAACCCAAACCATTCTATGATTCTATGAATATTTGATTCTGCAGGTTGGATGTCAATACATTTTGCTGTTGCTCACTGAGTTCCATTTGAGGTAAAGTCCTCCTCAGTGAGAGCCCCTGCACATCCGAACATAAGGGATATTGAGGGAATTAGCAGAGACAATTTTGTCCCTCTATCCAGAGGGCAGATAAAGCAGCATTCAGCTCTTGGAATGGGTGAGGATACTTGACATGTGTCCAACGTATTTGTTGGTAGCTGTGCCCCACACGCCTCCATCCCCTCTAATACACTTTACTGCCTGGAGGGATACTTTTTTGGATCAAATTGTAATACTTAGATTGTAGCTGCACTTTGTACTTTCAGTTATGTCCCAACTATTAGTTCTGTTTTAAGTACTTATTGATTGCCCAGACTTTACTTCACAGTTGGTATAATACAGAATTTCACATAAATCAGAAAACAGCAATGATGATTGTCCACTCAAGTGACCTAAATAGACACTATGCTGTTTCAAGTAGTGAAATTGTTTTAGAGACAAGGAAAGAGTTGTTTCCTCCTCTTTTCAACCTAGGACCATTAAGTCATGGGGCTCGAAACAAAACTCTAGATCCTAATGGGTTATGAACATCAGACCTTCAGCCCCTGGCAGAAGAGGACCATATTCTTTGTAGGGCAGCATACAAGCTATGGAGTTCCTGTGTACATGCCTTATGTTCCTCACATGGAAGCTTAGAAGCCTCTGGCACAGATTACTAATACCCTAGCTGTTTGTTGGAGAGTGGGCACTTCAAACCCCCTCTCCCACTAATGAAGATAGTGTCTTTAAATGCAGTAAAATCTAATGACCCATTCAGTTATTCCTAGTCTCTTAGAGTTTGTTTGAGTAGAGGGGAACTGAAAGTGGCGTATCTCGGAGATGGGGGTGGGTTTCTCTTTATGTCTCCATGCACTGAAGTAGGAGTAATAAGCATTTTGATGGCTCCCTGTTGTGTCTTCTGTCCATGAAAAAGTGAGAAGAGAGATTCTGTGGAAGTTATTCCTAGTGCCCCTTGGGTGGCTTCAATGACTCTCAGCAGTGGAGTAGTAGCAGTGAAAGTGGATATGGAATCCTTGGCGGTGGAAATAAGCACAGCTTTTAATTTGGTTTTATTTCTTGATTCATTTATGGTGTGGGTTTTTTTTTTTTTCCCTGTTTTACATTCTCTTTAAAGTCTTGATGTGAATGAAACAAATGATCCTTCATTTGGCGTTTGTTTCTCGTACCTGACAGCTTTGTGTTTTTAAGCTAATCCTTTGGAACTGCCTACTTCATGAACAAGTGAAGGCTGTACAAGAAACCTTGGATTTGTTATCCTTTCATGTCATATACGTGTCACAGGATCACAGACCTCTTGCTGCTATTTGTGCAGTACTTGCAGAGTTAGGAGGGTATAGTCCTTTTCCTGTTAACGTATTTCCTGAGAAGACAGCATTCCCTCTAAAAGCTTTTACATGACTTGTAATGTGTGAATAGTTGTTTTCACCACCCTGGAATTTTTATTCCTTACATTTTTCTTAGTACTTGCAAGACCAATACCTATGGGGGAGCCATAAGCTATAAGACCAACATAGAAGGCTAAAGAGTTGCAATAAATACAATTATCTACTTGAGAAGTCATCATAGCATTAGGCCTCTACCAGCCTCTTAAGCAAACTTTCCACTACAACTACAAAATGGCAGCCCTCCTATTACAAAACTAGCGTGGTTTCATGCATGTAAAGCACACCACACATAACCTGCATGCCAGGACTTGGAAGAACAAACCCCAGATTACCCTTATCCCGCACTGAAAGAGACGGCAATCAGAGCTTTTGAAATAACAGGATCAGGAACAATATTACTAAGGGGAGATGGGACTTTGGTATTTGCTGACTTTTTATCCACACAGCTGTATACCATGTGCATGTTCTTTAAATTATGCATAGATTCTATGCATGAAAACTCATTAAAATCAATACACTAACATGTTTCAGGTGTATGTTTATGCCAGGTTGAGATAAT